TGAAGCTCGAAGTCAGCTAAAAGGCTAATGATAATTATCATAAAGCCTACAATTTGATATAAATGAAAAGTATGGGGCTGTGCACGCTCAACTCTCAACACCACTTACAAGGTGTTTATTCAGCCAATAATGTTGTATTGCTGTGAACCACTCATTACAGCCACAGAGGTGACTCTCAAACCACTCGAGAAGGCACACAACCAAGCATTACGACTAATTACTGGAGGGATACAATCAACACCCATTGATGCAATGCTCCTAGTTACGGGAAGCACCACAATATGTTCCCTTATCAAAGAAAAGGCCTTGATCCTGTATGAGAAACTACTGCGCATTCCCATGGATAAGTTCTTCAGCACCTATGAGAATAGACCAAGACATCTGAAAACGCAATCTGGTCTAGTACAGAAAGCCATTGAACTGAAGAAAGCATTACAAATCGATGACAAACCAAAAGGCCTCTCTCTCCCCATGAACGCATTGGCAGACACTGATGTAGTGTGTTGCGCTCAACTGCTTGAATTCTTCAGGAAATCAAACACCCCTCCAGAGCAAATGCGCTCACTAGCCCTTGAGACAAACAATGTCATCTATCCTGGAGATCAATGGCTCCAAGTCTTCACTGATGGGTCATACATAGAAAACCAAGCAAACGTTGGTGCAGGTGTCTATTCTGAACTCTTCTCTTTCTACGCAGCAGTGGGACATAACAGATCCGCTTTTGAAGGAGAAATAGAGGCCATTAGGATAGTACTATGCCAATTATGTTGCCTGGATACGAAATTCACCAAAGCGGTGATTCCTGGTCACTGTGACATTAAAGGCAATGAGCTTACTGACACACTTGCTAGGAAGGGGACAACGATTTTGCAATGCATGGACCGCCCGATGTCTTTCCACACAATGAAGGCCTTAATCAGAAGAGAATTCCAGACCTCAAGGTGTAACGAACTTAAGCTCGAACAAAGGAGAAACAGTGGACAGTGGCACTCTCCGACATATCCGACTGGCCAAGAATCGATGCCGTTGCTGAGTTTAGACTACGTACCGGACACAATTGCCTGGCAAAACACCTTCACTGATTGGGAGCATACACTCAACCCACATGCCCTCTATGTAACCTACAGGAGGAAATGGAGAAGACCCATCTGATTCGGTGTCCAACCCTAAAGACAAGGACGGAAAGCCAGAGATACTGGGAAGCAAGAAGACAGTTAATGAACTACTATTAATTAACGGCTATATATATATACCCCCCACCCTTGGGGGAAGCTGAAGTCAAAGTTTAAGTGCTAATGATAAATATCATAAACCCTGCCGTTTGAAATAAATAGATATAAATGAAAATAAGGTCAACATTTTATACTTTTTTTGTATTGTGAGAGAGTTACTGTATTTGGGTAAACTTACTGTTGTTGAATATAAAGTAAAAAGGAGATCAAGTAGAAATGGAAAATAAATACGTTTCGCTGACAGAATCTAATGTCAGTTGATTCTTTTTCATGTTTTATTGTGCTTACTTCAATACTAGATCATATTTCATAAGATTTCTCTTATCGATGAGAAGACTCGGACTCCAAAGTCTAGAGGAAAATCCATTACACTCTTTTATAATGTTCTCGAGAGTGAGGTTGTACGGGCTTTTATAGTTGCCCAAAAATATTCAACCAAAGGATCCTTCATCCATCTAGCGTATTCAGACTAATTTTGCAGGAGCAGTTCGCGTAAAAAATATCAGAATTGGTATTGTCAGCTATATGAATTGTTCCTTATCTAATTGTTTCGAAACTATTATTTTATTTATTATATCAAATGGCAGACGTTTTAATGGTTATCATCAGCCCTTTAGTTGACTTCAGGCTTCACAGAGGGGAAGGAACATCAAAGTGAAAGAAAGTCAATAGGGGGGGGGGGAGAGAAGAGTGTTTCAAAGAAGAAGGTAGAAAAGGTAGGAAAAGGTGAGATGAGTACTGTGAAAGTAGCCTTATGAGTGTACCTGCCCAGGGTGCACCACGTGTAGGTAAGTCTATCTCACACTCCTGCTGTTGTTAAAAACCCTACTTACTTATATATAAGTAGTAATTTCTAATTGGAAAGATCTTCAGTGATTATGTGTTTTGTCCCCAGACTGGGTCATTTTTTGGCATTTGCAAAGTTCCATGAATTTTAACGATTAAAAGCGCTTTTTAATTACATAAACCAAATCATTTAGTTATACATTTAATTTATACGCGCATTAATTGATGACAATATTGATCCGATCTATGTGGCTAAACTCAATTAAGAATAAAAATTGAAACACACCATTCATCTTCTCTAATCTAATCTTCTTTTAAGTTTTGTGAACTGAAAGCTTAATAACTTTTAGTATTTAGAATCTTCTATTACTGCAGAGTTGAAAAAGCAAGACTATTAGGGACAAAAGAAGTACATGCTAGTTTTCATAAAACATTAAATGGTTAAAGTAAATCCCATTATGGCTTGGAGTCATTGGTAAAATGTATTCAACTACGAATACTCGAGAAAAGCGCTTAAATAGCACAATTTCATTCATTTATGGTGGTTGAAGTGACATAAAAGCCTTATGTCACATATCCATTTCCTCATGATTTTGCACAAAGGTATTTAGAACAACTTTTATTTTTTCAAAGACAAACGTAACTATTCTGATCTAACGCAGTCAAATTTTAAATAATTTCACAGGGATTTAGAAACTAAAGTTCTTATATAGGTTTGGCTTCCAGCAGGGTAACTAAACGCGCGAAAGAATATGCGTCAGAAAGCATCTGAATTCCTATTGGACAGCTCAGGAGCGTTCCAGAACGTTCTTGAAGTGGCCTGAATAATCGCTCTGATTTAAAATATCTGCATATTACCTGTGCCGTGATACCCAACTATTACAGTGGTAACTGAATTTATAAAAAATAAAACACCTTTTATGTTATACAATCCAAAAAGACATAAAATCCGAGGGCTGTACACATCAAATATCGCTTTGATCTGTTAAACCAGGTAATAGGTAAATATTAGGTGTAATTGAATTGATAATTTTGTATTCTAGAATATTCTAGACCTTGACCTTAAATTTCGGTTCTCGAACGTGTTCTGACCGGGTACTTTAGTGTTAAACGAGAAAGTGTGTAAATGAAAAAAACATATTTCTGCAATCCTTTAATAACATTCATTCTACTCTTTTTTTCAATTGTGTTTTTTAACCAATTTTCTCAATCTGAACTGGTGCTTTACCTTCAACAAAATCTATAATCTATTCAAATAATTAATTTTTCCTCAGAAAAAGTTTGGAATCGATCTGCTTATTGTATTCGACCCACGAATAAGCCAACATTCTATTAAGAAAGCTTGCCTTTTTCGGTTTCTTAGTACTCGAAATATTATAAGAGTACGATTATAATTGTACTGCAGTCGTAAAAGAGTACTTCTACTAGGAGCTAATTGTTGTGCTGAAGCGATTATCACAATTTGCTTTCTTCTTCATAATGATACTTGTTAACAGAACCAATTTACACACCCATGGGTAAGTTAGATTGTGAACAGACTTCAATATTTGTAGTATAATCATTCTGACAAAGTTGGACTTCAATAAAGAAGTCGAAGATATTTCATAAATAGATCACCGATACAGGAAAAACAGCCTAAATTTTGTTTCCGATCAATCAAACAACTACATTGTGGTATCTGAATGACAGCATAAAACCAAGTGGCACACTGATGCTGCATTTTTTAGAAATTTGGATAAAAGTACTCTTTTAATATCCTGTACTGTAATTTCACAAATTAAAATAACTGGTATTTTAGGTACCTCGTCTCAACTGTGACAATTCAAATGAGGGCTAACAGAAATTTTAGAATTGAAATTACTATAAAATGCAATACATACGAAAAAGAATGAAATTTCTATCCAAGCAAATTCACTACTTTTTACCAACTTATGATAGAAAAGGTTCATGGATGAATTTTACCGCTAGTTGCATAAAAAAGATTTAGCAAGCTTGATCACAGTTCTGACAAAAAAATGCGATCGATTTTCTGTAATGAAGTTAGCTTTATCGACCTTAGATCAAGCTAATTCAGCATTTGCGAGTGGGTGTTTTGAAGGGCTGTCTGGGGGGGGGGGTTATTGGTAAATAAAATGACAATAGTTTTTAGCTCGTTAATCTTAGGCCTTTTGTTAAAAACAGGACTCAAAAATGTATAAATATGATCTTGAAATAAGAAAAAGCTAGAAAGGCAAGGAATAATGCGTTGAATGGCGCAAGGAGAAGGCAGAGGGGTAACACGCGAGCGCTGAGCTAAAAGAACATTCTAGAAGCTAATGGTGAATCATTTCATGCGCTCAATTTCGCTAAATTCCTCAGAAGTTAATTGAAGCGACCGAAAGTTAACGAAAGCAAGGGAATACTATTAGGTCTGCATATTTTGTGAGAAGAGACTATATATAATATGGAGCCATAGCTAAAAATTTAAATAAAAAGGGCTAATGTGACTTTCGCCAAACAGAATAGAAATTCAGATTGAATAGTGATATTTTAACAACAATTAATAAGAAAACCAAAATATAAACCATTTTCATTCCTTATTCTAATCGCTAAACGCCTCTTTTGAAACGAAAATAAATTTAAACCTTCATCTAATAAAAGTGGTTGAACTATCAATGAACAGAAAATGTGCCAATCTTTATGTTTTGGGTGGTTAAAACGGGTTAAGTCAGACCTAAATTTTAGATTATTTTACTGAAAATATTTCATTAATTACGACAGTCGCCATCTTAGCACGCCGTAACTTCTACGAAAACGTGCAAGCTTAGCAGCAGGTCTGAGCCAATCAAATGGCTATAGAAGGATAGAGACTATTCTACTGACAAGTGATTGGTCACTTAGGCCTAGTTCTAGAAAATTCTGCCAATTTATCTATAAATATGGATCTTATTTCATGCCTTTCACTTTACTAGTTTTGGTTGTTCTCGTGTTGGTTTTCTTGCTATGACCGAAAAAGTTGATAACGCCCCTTCTGCTCCTGAGGATGTGGAGACCTTCGCTTTTCAGGCTGAGATCGCTCAATTGATGAGTCTGATCATCAATACGTTTTATTCCAACAAGGAAATCTTTTTGAGAGAGTTGGTTTCTAACGGCTCTGACGCCCTCGATAAGATTCGTTACAAGAGTCTCACTGATCCACATGTTCTTGATTCTGAGCCAGAGCTGTGTATCAAGATTATCCCAAACAAAGCTGAGAATACTCTCACTATTATTGATACTGGCATTGGCATGACAAAGGCTGACTTAGTCAATAACCTTGGTACAATTGCTCGTTCAGGAACCAAGGCCTTCATGGAGGCGCTGAACGCTGGAGCCGACATCTCCATGATTGGTCAATTTGGTGTGGGCTTCTACTCTGCCTATCTGGTTGCCGACAAGGTGCAGGTTATTTCAAAGAACAACGACGATGAGCAATACTTATGGGAGTCGTCCGCTGGCGGCTCTTTCACAATTCGACCACATAATGAAAAGATGGGTCGAGGTACGAAGATAATCCTTCACATTAAGGAAGATCAATCTGAGTATCTTGAAGAGCGTCGTCTCAAGGAAGTCGTAAAGAAGCACTCTCAGTTTATCGGCTATCCCATTAAGCTCTATGTTGAAAAAGAGAGGTCCAAAGAAGTTCCCGATGAAGAAGCTGAAGAAGAAGAAGAAGCTAAGGATGATGGTGAAAAGAAGGAGGAAACTGAAAAGCCCGAGGTTGAGGATTTGGATGATGACGATACCGGAGATGAAGCTGAAGACGGTGAAAAGGGAGAAAAGAAAAAGAAAAAGAAGACAAAGACCATTAAGGAGAAATATATTGATGAGGAAGAGTTGAATAAGACCAAGCCTTTATGGACCCGGAATTCCGAGGATATCAGCAAGGAGGAGTATGGCGAATTCTACAAGTCTTTGAGCAATGACTGGGAAGATCATTTGGCGGTTAAACACTTCTCCATTGAGGGTCAGCTCGAGTTCCGTGCTCTTCTTTTTGTTCCAAAGCGGGCTCCATTCGATTTGTTCGAAAATAGGAAAAAGCGCAATAACATCAAGCTGTACGTGCGTCGTGTTTTCATCATGGATAACTGCGAGGACCTTATACCTGAGTACCTGAACTTCATTCGTGGTGTTGTTGACTCTGAAGATCTACCCCTCAACATTTCTCGTGAGATGTTGCAGCAAAATAAGATCCTCAAGGTTATTCGCAAGAATCTTGTAAAGAAATGCATCGAACTCTTCGAAGAGTTAGCCGAGGATCCCGAGACTTACAAAAAATTCTACGAGCAATTCTCCAAGAATATTAAACTAGGCATCCATGAGGACAGCACCAATCGTAAGAAGCTCTCTGATCTCCTTCGCTACTATTCGACATTAAGTGGTGATGAAATGACCAGTCTTAAGGACTACGTCTCTAGAATGAAGGAGAATCAGAAAGATATCTACTATATCACTGGTGAGAGTAAAGAATCCTTGGTTGATTCCAGCTTCGTGGAAGTGCTTAAGAAGCGTGGCTTGGAGGTTCTCTACATGTGCGACCCCATTGACGAGTATGCCGTTACTCAGTTGCGCGAGTATGATGGTAAGAAGCTGATCTGTGTCACTAAAGAAGGTCTCGAGCTTCCTGAAGATGAGGAAGAAAAGAAGAGGTTCGAGGAGGTTAAGGCCGCCTTTGAGCCAACATGCAAAAAGATCAAGGACATTCTGGGCAATAAGGTTGAGAAGGTCAGTGTCTCCAACAAGTTGGTTACCTCTCCCTGCTGCATTGTTACTTCTACCTTTGGTTGGTCAGCCAACATGGAACGTATCATGAAGGCTCAGGCTCTCCGTGACTCCAGCACCATGGGGTACATGTCTGCCAAGAAACACTTGGAGATCAATCCTGACCACAAAGTCATGATCCGTCTTAAGGAAATGTTGTCTGCTGATGGTGAACCGAACAAGATCTGCAAAGATCTCATCAATATGCTCTTTAGCACTGCCCTCCTTACCTCTGGTTTTACTCTGGAGGACCCTAAGGCCCATGCCAACAAGATTCATGAATTAATTAGCATGTGCCTCGAAATTCCTGAGGATGAAACAATGAAGGATGTTGCGGAAGACAAGACCGCAAGTGATGGTACTTCTGCACCCGTTGAGGCCGGTGATGATGGAAATGCTATGGAGGAAGTCGATTAATTGATCAGTGCATTCTATGATATGTTGTCAACGTATGTTTTTGCGTGTGTATATGTATAAATACAAAGTAAAAAGTGCGAGTGTTTTTTTCCAAATTGGGCTTTGTTGTGTGGGTTGCTAATATGGTGTTGGTTTATCGGTGGGCGGTTTTTCCTTTGAGGCCTGCTTTGTAGTCTTATTTGAGTTTGACCTGGGGTTTCGCGAAATCTGCTAAGGGGAGGTTGCTATTATTTGATTCGTGGTATTTGGTATTGTGTGAGTGTAATGCAAATTCTATTTTACGCGGGTCTAAACTGGGAAATTTTAATTTTCTGGTTGATCTGTTCTGAGGTCATGCAGCTTATTCATAATTGGGGGAGAAGTTGAGGAACCGTTTTTCTGTCCTAATTCGAACTTCATCCATACGTGCGACTATGGCATTCGGTCTGTCGGTATGGTGGATTTAGTAAGATTGCCCTCCCAAACATCGTTAAGGTTACCAAATTTAGTTGCCAAATAAGTTGCAATTAACAGAAGATACATGCAAAGTACAATTGTCTTAATTAACAGCTGAGCCAAGATGGTGGCGGTTATTTGATTCCAAAAATATTGGAATCGATTCAAATCGTCACAGCACAACACGAGATATTGCAGAGAAGCTGCTCAATGTGTCGCATAAATGCATTGAAAAAAACATTAAAAACCCTTGGTTATGTGAAGAAACTTGATTTATGGATCCCTCACCAGTTAAAGGATTAGCATCTGTGATTCGCCGCTACTGAAACGCAATGAGAATGATCCATTTCTGAAGAACCTAGTTACTGGCTACGAAAAGTGGATAGTTTATAACAATGTTACTCGGAAGAGATCATGGGTGAAGCAAGATCAACCAGCCCAAACAGTATCAAAAGCAGAGATTCACCAAAAAAGATTATGCTGTCAGTCTGGTGGGATCACAAAGAAATTTTGTATTTTGAAATCATGCCGCAGAACCAAACGATAAATTCAAATGTGTATGTTGAAGAACTCGAAAAACTGAAGGATGCAATTGAAGATAAGCGGCCGGCATTATCAAATCGGCGGAAGGGTGTTGTTTTCCATCATGATAACGCAAGGCCCCACACATCTTTGGTTACTCGGCAAAAATTATTGGAACTGGGTTGGGATGTTTTGTCACACCCACCATATAGCCCTGACCTTGCGCCTTCGGATTACCATTTGTTTCGTTCCATGCAAAACTCTTTAAATGGTAAAATTTTTAACAACGCGGATGATGTCGGATCTCACCTAATTCAGTTTTTTAATAGCAAAGACCAAACATTTTACGAACGGGGAAATTTTACTCTGCCAGAACGATGGAAAAAGGTCATCGACAAGAACGGCCAATATCTAATTGAATAAAGTTATATTTTTAAATAAAAATTCCGAATTTGCCTTCTTATTTGAAATCAGCAATGACTTAGTTGCCAACCTAATAGTTCCATGAAATTTAATTTTCCGTTTAATCGCCCAGGGCGGATTTTCGGAAAACGCCGGTATAAGGATATTTGTCAGCCACTCTCCTTTTGAATGAGATTAATAACTAGAAGGTAAATGATTTTATGACACTTGGATTGAGGTTTCCTAGTCGGCGACAGATATAAATAATGATAAAGTAGTTAAGATTGATTACTCCGAACACTTGAAAGAAATTGCAATATTCTATAATTTTCTCTCGTTTTATTACACCCTTTATGCTACAGAAAAGAGCCTTTCATTCACCCTCTCCTCCCCAACCCCCCCCCCCAGGCGATAATATGAAAAATATCAATAACATTAGACTTCTTTTCGCTAAATGTAATAGCTTATTTTTGCTCCTATAACAACCCACGTAAAATTCTTATTGAAATGTACTGATCTCAAGGCACGCAAATAAGGTGTAAGTTACAAACCCAGCTAAACTGAAAATTTATTAACAATGAAGCAGACTTCTACTTCTCAGCACTTCTTGTCTTCCTATCAAAAGTTAGATATATTGCCATTCCTTTATATTTGGCTATTTCCGTCATTAAAAGTTTTTTTGTTAAGTCTTCCCCATCGTATTGAAAAATAATCTAATCAAGCTACTCTATTGATCGTGTAGTTAAGGCTACTAAGTCCTAGAAGTTATAACTGCATTATTAGACGTTTATGTGATACGTATTTAAAACAATTTCTTTTAAACAAAAGTCAGGATTTCTAGAGTTCATTAGAAATGACCAGAATTTGAATTCTATGTCTCGAATATTCTAGGTAATATAATAGAAATATTAGCAAATTTTTACCAATAGGACTATTTATTTATATCCAATGATAGGTTAACTGATACTTTTTATTAGCTCTTCAGTTGAAGTCGGGCTTCACAAAGGGAAGGGACATCAAAGTCACAAAATGTCGAGGGGTTGGGAGAATAGAAGAGTGATTCACAGATGTAAAAGTGACAGACACGATGGTAGAGAAAAGGTAAGGTGAGGTGAGTACTGTGGAAGTGATGTAATGTGGTGTACATTTGGGTCATGGTAGTTTGAAGTCAACTGCCGGTCTATAGATTTTTTTGTCGTATGAGTATACGTTAACCAGGGTGCTCCACGTGGAGATATGTCTATCGCACACACTATGCTCATGGGAATATAGGAGTTAAGAAACACATACCATCCCTGTGAATGTCAGCGAACTGCCACCTTCCTAAAGTCACAACGGTAGTGATTGAATACTGGTAAGTAACACCGACGAGAAAAGTGGTGTCAGAAATGTGAAGCACAAATGGGTGGGGTGAGGGAGAAAGAGGTGCTTAGAGTGGAAGTAAAAAAATTGATATGGGAATTTGGCTTAGAGTTAAGGGGAGGTAACTTGATTGCACGTACTGAACTCAAGTACCTCTATACAACGATAATCTAGCAAGGCTTCATTCGAGGGGGGAGGTACATTAATCAGTAGTACATCTTTTGAGATTTTTCTATTTTTGAAAAGTGTTTTAAAGTTACGAAGATTTCTGAGTTTGATAGGCTCATCAAAGCAAACCTGGCAAAATCAGAAATCGAAATGATGTTCATAAATACTGATCAGTAAATTTCATCACTTTCTCTCTTTTTCCCTCCTTTAATTTAATAGAAAATGTTATTTTCCTTAAAAAAATTGATAATAATCTCATTTCATTCGATCTTTTCGATTTTTAATCATTGGATTGTCATCAGTTTAGCAGAGATTGAATCCAGTTTAAAATGCGTAGTGTTGATTGAGAAATTTTTTGATAATCATCTGGAAAGCTTTGTTCATAATCAGAAAGGAGGATTTTGCATTGGCTTCCTTCGTTTATTACGAAAAGCAAAGCATGTTTTTACTTGATAGGTATTGTAAAATTATACAAAATAGTTTGTTGTACGTTAAAATGGCAGCGTGTGGTGGAGTGTACAATGGCATCCGCTAAAAAGTAACGAGTTTAATTTTATCAGCAAATCAAATTCAACATTAGACAACAGTTTGGAGTATTTAGCATACTGTAAATTCACATTGCCTAATTTTTTGAGAAAGGGGAATAGGCCATTGGAAAATCATTTACTGAGAGTTAACCTCCATACGTGCTTGGGGCCAATATGAAAACACTTGGAGTTAGTCAAACCCAGATGAAGTGTTCATAGTGACTTACCGGAATAGAGCTACCCTGAGGCCAACCGTACATGTATTGAGTTCACTTATGGTTAGCAAAGATTTAAAACGTACAAAAAGTAATTTTTAATACTTGAAACCTGTTTTGAGTTTGGCATTATTTCGTACTAAAATCTTTTTATATCTGCAAAAGATGATGATAATTATTAAAAACCCGTTAAAAGTGTTTCTAGATGAGTGGAAACCCTAGATTCATTTGCTTAAACTAGAATTTGGGGCAGTTTAAAATTATGTTAGAAGCTAAAACCCTTCCTTTGGCGTAATTTCATCTGGTCGATAATTAACTCTACTTAATCCACATTACATTAGAATGTCGATTTTCTAGAAGTTACCAAATTGCGCCATGCCCACACATTTGTCCTGGTTTTATGCGTGTAGCTCGTATTTACGTACGCAGCACATTCTAGAATATTTCTCGCGAATGACTAATCGCCTAGCATGCTAGGCAAGTAGTACGCCAAATTGGCAAGCCGATTTAATAGGTATTCTTATGGGAGGCGAAAAAAGACAACTGGTATTGAAACAATACACATTTTATTGATTAAAATAGTCCATTGTTATGCTATTACATACCTACCGAAATTGGAATTGCTAATCTCAGAAATACTTCGGTTTAACAGAGGATTGAATAATCATTTACCTACAAGGATGACTTTGTTCACGACAATTGGCATGCGCTGCGCTAGATTGTTTTAGGTTTTCGGTCCTATAATTAAAACAGTTATGTGATACCAACTAATTAAATTTTCCATAAAATTACAAGGACCAATAAAAATCAACGAAGCTTATTTATGTCGTTAATTACAAGTAGAAGTTTCTGGAATAGTACGTGGTGGAAAAAACTAGAACAAATTTCCTCATTTTTACCCTTAAATTAGGACAAATGTAATGCAAACGCAAAAAAGCGAGGTTGTTAGCAAAAGCTGTATAAAATATTGGCGACTAAATTTATTCATCTCAAAAGGCAGGCGTTTTGAAAGTTATCATTAACCCTTTAGCTGACCTCCGGCTTCACGGAGGGGAGGAGAAACATCAGAGTGACAACAAGTCGGGAGGAGGGACAGAATATGGATTAACAGATATGAAAGAATCAGGCAGATACAAAGGCAGAGAAAAGGTAAGATGAGTACTGCGAAAGTGGTCGAATATGACATACAGTGGGGTGATGGTAGTTTGAAGTCAGAAGTAAACTGCCAGTTAATAGACTTTTTTGCCGTATGAGTACACGTTGCCAAGGCTGCACCACGTGGAGGTAAGTCTATCGCGCACGCCTTAGCGACAAAATTAGAACGGGTAGAAAATCAAATCTTTCTACACTCGAAAGCAAAATCAAAGCATCGCTTAGGGAAGTCACCACAGAGAAAAGCTTTAGCCATCTATAGCCATTCAGTTCAAAAAATACATTGGAAACATTAAGCGTCCATCAAACTACCAAACAAAAAAACGGTTTCGAATAAATGTTTCGTTTCAAGGGGAAAAATAATTGGCGGATGACAAACTTAACGCTAACAAATAAAATATGCAAACATTCATTTATTTATTATTATCAAATGGCAGGAGTTTTGATAGTTATCATTACCCTGGAGCAGAGTTCGGGGCTTCACAGAGAAGGAATATCAAAGTGGCAAAAAGTCGAGAGGGGAACAGAAGAATGATTCACAGGTGTAAAAGAGACAAGACACAAAGGCATAAAAAGGTAAGATGAGTACTATGAAGGGGTCGGATATGACAAATAGTCGGGTCATAGTAGTTTGAAGTGAGAAGCCAACTGCCAGTCAATAGACACTTTTGCCGTATGAATATACGTTGCGCAGGGTGCACCACGTGGAGGTAAGGCTATTGCGCACCCCAAATAGGCAAACATTAATACATATTAAAAATGGCATAGTGCAATTATAAAGTCAGAAGAGAAAGAAGTATTCTCTGAGAAAACCAAAATAAAAACAAAACTGAAAGAGGAGAAAAATTAAAAAATCATGCAGCGATGAGGAGAAGAAAACGAGACTTGTTTGGAATAACCGAAAGATTAAAATTATTATTTAGTTCTAAAAAAATGCAACCCTTCCAAAACGCGAAAACAGGGAAAGAGCCAAATTGTAAAGATATTGATGAAAATGGGGAAAATAATCAAGACAAAAATTCCGATTAGAGGGTAAAATCAAAGCAAAATCAATTGCATATATAAAAGTGAAATTTGCCTAAACAAACGAAGGAAGAGGCAACCAATAGGAAAACCACAATAAAGTTCGAAATGTGCGGACGTGAGAGACGTAATAAACCAATGAAATTGTAATACTACGCGTTGCTAATTACCGATTGGTTAGAATAATCTAGAGTCCCAAACGCAATCATGGAATATTCTAGAAACGAACCAAAAAATATATAAGCGATAGAAGCAGGAACAACCTTACTCTTTCATCGCTTCTACGATATAGCTTGCTTATCATGTCTAAAGGACCGGCTGTTGGAATTGATCTTGGTACTACTTTCTCTTGCGTTGGTGTATTCCAACATGGAAAAGTGGAAATCATAGCTAATGACCAGGGCAATCGCACTACCCCCAGTTATGTCGCTTTCACCGACACCGAGCGTCTGATCGGTGATGCTGCCAAGAACCAGGTGGCTATGAATCCTACCAACACTGTTTTCGATGCCAAACGTCTCATTGGTCGTCGATTTGATGATAGTATTGTGCAGGATGATATGAAACATTGGCCCTTCCATGTGATCAACTCCGGTGGCAAACCGAAGATCGAGGTGGAGTTCAAGGGTGAGAAGAAGTCGTTCTTTGCAGAAGAGATCTCCTCCATGGTG